ATAAACACGCTGTACTCCGGAGCAGTTTTACTAAAAAAAAAACCAGAAATGATGTATTTTTTTCATATATTTAACATTGATAATCAACTGACAGCACAAAATTCAATCGTTCTTTGTCGAAAATACTACAGTAACTTGAAATTGTCAGAGGCCCTTTTTGTAGAAACCAGAGTTGACACAGAAACAAAGATTACAGACCCTAGAGGAATGACAATACACCCCTCAGATAATTCTGTAAGTGTTACACTGAAAGTTTGGTTCAGTAAATTAATAGTCAATGGTCTGCTGTTAGAAGACAAACGGACTAAACCATAAAGCAGTGCTTGTTTCTATGAAAAACAGGGCTCTTAGCGTCACAAGAGTTGGCAGATAAAAGTATCTCCAGTTTTCCTGTTCTAGGAGTCTCCTCTAACTGTCCTCCACACACCCCTTCCAACAAAGTGTTACCTCAACAGTCCCACTGCCACACTCCAGCCACATTTACTTATCACTAAGCGAAAAACACAGTGTTCAGAATAGCAGTATACAAGTCAAATGAGAGACTGGTAAGGAGAATTATGTATCTATTCTTTTATTGACATAATTGGCTGCTATGGGCTTTGGGAAGAATTAAAAATCTAAAAATCGTTCCTAGAATCTCTTTCCCTGAGAGGTCCTGATAACTATTTTTAACTGCACCACTGCTGCGGCAGCTTTAAAAACACAAAAAGAAAGAAATACACTTGATTATCTTAACCAGGAAGTAGACCTGGGTAATTTTTGTTCTTCTACCAACTGTTCAATTCTTAATCCCCAGGAAGGTTCTCTGTGCTTCAGGCTTCAAATTAAATGTTGATACTGGCGGCACCATTAAGAGACAAAACAAGATCATATATATAACCCAGATGGAGAGGTTAAAATCCTCTGGACTCTCCGTCAGTGAAATGAAACCTATAAAATCTATGTTTTAATAGCTAATTTTCTGGGGATCACAAGATTTCTTTTTGCATATGCCCTTGATAGAATTAATGAGAGGGCGAGAAAAGCATATGCTTAAATGCCTGGGGGCAACTATAACAAAGGGCGAAATTACAGTTTATTAATGCAATTCCAGCACTCACAGCTTATTGCTTGCTCTAAATAATACAGAAAGAACATGCATTACACAATCAAATCTCTGTAACTACTGTGCTTATAGATTTGAAGAGAGTGACATTGACCAGCTAGACGCTGGTCAAAATAGGAGCTAACATTTAGACATCTGCTTTTAAGAGAAGCATCTCTTCCACCTGCTTCTTCAGGCCACAAAGATACAGTCTAGTTAACATATTACTGACAGGATGACGAGAACACTCCTGTCAGACGCTGGCCAGCGGGTGTTTAAGACAAAATGTACAGCCCCAGCTGACTAGTTAGAGAGAGTCTGGTGAGGTACAATTATAGAGGCATATGACAAGGCTTCATGCCTGACTGATTTGAGAACCGATGACATGGCTTTAAACAGCAATCTTTCCTACCTTTGGTCACAAAACCGCAATAAGTCAACTGATACACTTCTGTAAAATCATGATTTATTCCTTTGCTTTGAATACATGAGACTCTGGTATGATGTTCAGCTAGTTTACCCGAGGTTCACTTGGGGCTTAAACAGCTAGGGCCTGCCTACAACATGCATAAAATCAATGTTCTTGCTCAGGATTGCCAGAAAACCCTTCTGTGTGTGCTTACTAATATACAACTCATTAGAATAAAAGCAAAAGTGATTACGTCCAAATTCACTCCAATCAAACATATAAAAATATAATAGTGGGTCCTAACACAATACCACACTATAAAATAAGGGTGAAAACCCGCTAAAATACAAAACATAACAATATTCTTGGTATTTTTGCTTACCTATCTCAAAACTAATTTTTTTTTATTTTGAAGTTTATCTCTATAAAGGTTACAAATTATAATTTTAAAACCAATAGCATCTAAAGAATAGGATCTTCATTTTAGCTGATTCTCTACCCGTGTATCATTACTAAAACCCCAGGCAAGCTATAAGGTTGACAAATATTTTATTATAGTTATTGGAAAATTATGATTGTGGAAAAGTCAATTATCCAGGCAAATAAAATTCCTGAAGCTACAACAGAATTATAAATATAATGATGCCTTAACTTACATGTATTCTTTCAATAATACAAGCTATAGATATAAAGTGGTGAAAAAATGGGCAAAACATAATTCCTTGCCTTAATATTAAGAACATTATAGTATTTGTGGTATGTAAAACAATATATGCATGTAAAAAGCTTAAAAATAAGTGAATTCATTAACTATTCCTTAATTACTCCTTCCTTGGAAGCCTCAATATTTCACAAAACTCTTTTAAAAATAGTTTATTTCTAATTTATGTTATGGTACTGGTCCTTGACCTTAAATGTTACTATGCATGGAATTCATAGCAGATTTATTTATATAAAGGATTTTTTCAAGATAGATTCAAATAAATCGGTTTCCCCCACATACAAGGTAAAGAGATCATGAAAGAGACCTTGACTTATGTTTCTTTTATCAGTTCTGTTGCCCCAGAGAGTGAACCAAAACAGAGCTGCTAACTTAGAAGTGACATCACCATTATGTTTTCATTAACAGTCATAAACACTTGGTATTAAGTTGACCTCAAAGAGAGGCAACAGATCCCTAAATAGTATCAAGCCGTTACTATAACAATTTTTTTAAGTCAAATAAAGTTAAAGCTAAAGGGTGTGCATGTTAATTAAGTTTTACTCTAAACTACAGATCTAGGCTATTAAAATAATTATACCTAATAATCATTGTGCGTTTATCTTTTGCAGGCATAACTGTAAGCACTTCATTGTGTGGGTGTGTGTGTGTACACTTTAATCCTCACAAACCCCTATGAGATCAAGACTAGTATTACTCCTATTTTGCACATAAAGAAACTGAGTTACAAAGAGGTTACTCAGTCATTAAGGGAAGATATAAATCACAACAAAGAGAAACACCAATATTTTTGAAAAACAAATACTCAGATTTATTTCTAATGGTTTTCTAACTAGAGTAGCTTGTATGTTCATTCACATAACTCACTCATTCAATTCTTCAGCTCTCTGCTCAAATATCACTTTATTAGACAGGTTTTCCATGACCACGCTAGATAAATAAAAACCTGCTCCTTGTCTCCTGTCTCACACACACACACACACACACACACACACACTCAGTTTATTCTTTACCCTTTGGCACTTATCGTCACATGACACAATAGTTATTTATTTGTTCATTTGTTTATTATCTGTTCCATCCCAACTGGATATAAGCTCCAAGAGGATTTGAACTTGACTTTGCTTACTGCTGAATCCTTAGTGCCAACAAAGTTCCTGGCACACAGTAGGTGCCTAATAAATATTTTTCATAAATTAATCCTTTTAGCAATTTGGTTCCTAGGCCTATATGATAGTTTGTATAAACTTGTTAATCTTTAAGAAAGTATCCATATAGAAATATCCTTTATAATCTTGAAAAAAATCATGTTTAAAAAAAGGAAGAGCAGTGGGAAGACAAAGAAGATGCTTTTACCTCAACGGAAAATTAAAAATGCCAGAAAGCAAAAATATAAAAGTACCAAATGTTTCAGACCAAATTTCTCAATATCATTCAAGAAACTGAAAATAATTACTTCTGTCACTGACTAGTATTTATTCTCTGATGTTATTACATCATTCCTCCACACTTACTACTTTAAATGCATGCGACAATGTATTTTTCAATATGTAAAATATTGCACTTTCAAATTTTTTGAAAAGTGGGCATATCAATATTACAATTCAAAAATTTCCAAATTATATATTTTTATATATTATATATAACAGAAATAACCCTAGAATTAGAACCAGGAGACCCAGTTTCACGTTACCTGTCCCCAGTAAGTTGTCTGCTTTAGGGTGGCCATGCAACTTCTCTGAAAGTAGCTTTAAAATACTAGAGAAAGCCTAACACTCCTTCTATCCTAAAATGTTAAATTACAGGTAATGATCATTGTACATTTATCTTTTGCAGGGATAATTCTAAGCACTTCATTGTGTGTGTGTGTGTGTGTGTGTGTACATGTTATAGGATGAGGTTTTTATTTCTGCTTTGGTCTACTTAGATGACCAAAATTAAAAAAAAAAGATGATTTTATTTTAATAAATTAAGCAACTTTGTAAAAAAGCAAATTCATGTAATACTGAACAATGGTTTTTCATAAAGTACCTCATAGATTACTCAAAACTATATCTGAACATATTAAAAATTAAAAGTAAAAAATATTACATTTTTTAATACTTAAACGGTAGAAAACATATGAGGAAATCTAGCAAATACTTTTGAATGCTTTTCTAAAACACGAGAAAAATCCTTCTATTCTCACTGCCTTTACCATAGTAAGGGAAACCTTCCAAAAGAACATTTTAGTGAGTGGCATAAAACCTGTGATTTAAAAAAAAAATAATAAAATGCTACTTTGACTTTTAAGTTATTATCAATCTGAAGAGCTCCTCCAAATCAGAACTATTATAGAATCTACTCCCAAACCACGACTCAGCAACAAAGATGAATCTACCTATTACCAGGTTAGGATAGCAGCTATTATCATGGCCCCTTGATTTCTTTCAAGTAGCTCCAATGGAAAAAGCCACAAGTGAATAAAAGATCTCATAATAGCTCTTAAGAATTCTTTATATGGTAGAAGGCACTAAAATGAACTCCAAAGAGTTTTAAAAAAAAAAAAAAAAACTCTCATCTCCTGATAAGAAAAAATAATTAACCTGACTTAACGCATCTGAGAAGGCCTCCTATAAATCAGACTTTTGTACTTCAAGAGCCAGATTAAAACCATATATCAAAAAAGTATGTAGATATTGTCTCATAAGTACACATAGAACATTTCTAAAACTGCAGAGGTTGGTAGGTCTTTTTGTGAAACGGTCAATACACTCTGATTAAAAGCAGAAGTGTGAAGTACTTACAGTGCTTAATTTTCTGGAGGTAATAATGATGCGCCTTTCATGTAGCATACTGGCATACAGTTGCAGCATATTGTTCACATCCACAGCAACAAAATATTCTGTAAGATTTCTCTGTACAAGTGAAAAATAATTGTGGAAGTTATAGCTTATGGTGATTATGAAGAAAAATATTTTATATACTTATAAAAAAGTCTTAAAGTTCAAAAGGTTTTATTATTAAAATGGTATTCATTAAAATAATTAAATTTAATACTACTCTGCTGCCACACGAAGCACTTAGCATTCTATTACTATTGAAGCATAACTCTACTCCAGAAAAATGTTTCTCAGAGAGGAATCAGAGGATTACATACTTCCCACCCTCCCTCCCCAAGTACTTGCAAAAGAGGTGGATTTCCTGGGCCCCAACCTAGACCTGCTAAATTACAACTTTTGGAGTATGACCCCAAGAATCTCCTTTTTTATCAGCTATTCCTGGCGATTCTTATATACACTGCAATTTGAGAACCACTGCTTCAGTGAATGCACTGGAGTCTTTGTATGTCTGCCATCCACTCAGTAAGGAGCTCTGATGGTGTAATGGTTAAGTACCCTGCTGCTAACCAAAAGGTAGACAGTTTGAACCCACCCAGAGGCTCCAAGGGAGAAAAGACCTGACGATCTGCTCCTGTAAGGATTACAAAAAATCTGATGGGGCAGGTCTACTCTGTCACTTTGGGTCACTGTAAGTCGAAAACTGCCTCAAGAACACCTAACAACATTCACTCAGTAGGCAGTATCATTGCCTGATAGTATGTACTATGCATGGAACACCCAAAGCATGAAATGGATTGATAAGGAAATCCTTTGGTTCCTTATTAAGAGAAATTCCTTGGTTATATTCCATGTCAGGCCTGCTTCATATCACTATAAACAAATATACTTTACTGATGGTCTGATCCAATTCCTTGATTTAGCATTTTAAATTATTTCTCCCAAATAAGAACAAACTTGGGATAAACTACATCAACTGTAAAAGACTTTTAGATTCTCTCCTTCTTATTACTCTTTAATTTTAATTTTCTATACTCTGACCTAAGCATCTGAAAACAACAAAGTAATGAAAGACTAAATAACATACAGTAATAAACTGACATCATAGTACCAGATGGACTATGACTTATAAGGCTAAAACTTTTAGCTGGGTAAGAAAACAAGAAGTCATATTGTTTCTTCAATTTCCAAAAGGCAGAAATTTCACCAGGACAACTGGTAATAATGGCAGGGCATATCAGCAAAACCTATAACCATCAGTGGGTGATGTTGACTTTGGTGAGGAGAGGTTCATTTCCTGTTTTTTTCTATTTGAACCCTACACTCTTCCAGTTCAACTATTTATAAAATGACTTTTATGGCTTTTGGCATTAATATTTTTCCTATAATCTCAAAGAAAGATTAATTTCTAGGTGGGGAATTACTTCTCAACATAGAATGCTGCCTTATATTTATGTCACTGCAGTTTTGTTTTTTTAAATAGGACTTTTTGTTCACAGACAACTTCAAAATAAAATATGTTAATTAAGATGTAAAAATATATACTCTCAGTAACAGTTTGCCTTAGAATGGTTGTTTCTTTAACACTTTCAGAATAATAGCCTTTAAAAAAAATGTGAGGTTTGTTAAATCAAGCTGTTAGTTGTTTGATAAAAAATTTAAGAAAAAGGCAACTAGGGAAGAGGGTTGAAGAGGGTGAACTCTTACTTTCTATTAGAAACTCTGACATGAAGAGACCAGGGCCCCATAGTCAAAGCATGGTAAGTCAGCTTCGAGAAAAGCATACAGAGTACCTGGCCCACAATGCACAGCACGTAAGCCTTTAGAGACTATAAACCGGCCTGAGAGCTTTGATGGTGTATCTCAGGCCCACATTAGGCGCAGCTTGATGCAAAGTCTTTCATAGCGGTTATCTGTATTCAGCTGTACTGGAAACTCTGTGGGGCAGTTCTACTTGTCTTACAGGGTCGCTATGAGTTGGAATCGATTTGACCGCAACGGGTTCAGTTTTTCTGGTTTTATCCAAAAGCATAAAAACATATTTTTCATTTCCACTCATCCATGTAAACTTTTCTACAGAGTATCACTTTTTAACGACTATTAAAACACAGAAAACATTTCCAGCAAGGCTACACTTAGGACTCTAAGTAAAATGCAAAATTTCGCAATTTTTATAATTTTTGTAGTATCCCTCAAGTCTTATAAAATACTATTAAGTTAAAATCAGAAACTCAGATACAGGACTTCCAAGATTTAAACAGCTACGTACAAGGAATCTAAAATACTATGCTCAGTACACTGAAGTAACTATGTATTTTTATTTTATGTGAAAACATTTTCTAATGCCAGTATTCATTCCCCACCAGCAAAAGCCATCTCCTGAGATACCTCTTCTACTTGATACAGGGGAGCTCAGGATCTAATTGGACATATGAGATCCTTCTTCACTATGCCAAATGACAGAAATCGCTTTCCTCATATAATTTTCCCTATCTACAATCAGATACTAGGAAAGGAGTAAAGGAGCAGCTCAATAAATAAATAAGCAGATAACAGTGGTGTTATCCCTTTCTTCATTATTTCTCAAAATCAACACAGATAATCACAATGTATTCTATTTCTCTAAACAGTGAGAGCAAAAGAAATAACACTTGACCTAGAACACGTCAAGGAGAAAACAGAAAACTTACACTCTCGGGTATTGTTGGGAGTCCAGTTACATCAGGGGCAATGAAGTAGGAATGCTAATCACAGAAATAAATCACATAAGAAAAGGAGAATTAAACATTTGGTGTCACAGCATATAGTCTATATAATTTGGGATAAAAATAAGAAAAAACATATCAACCAAATTAAGAAATATCATGGGCTAACACTCAGATTTGTTGAATTTGAAAAATCCTTACATGAGATAGGAGGTTTACATGAGCTTTAACACCACATTTCTCATACAAAGAGTTAAGTGTTAGTTAAAATATTTGAATTTAAAATTTAACAGTAATATTTTCAGAAAAGCACCCTGGGAAACGTTTAGTAAGAGAAAAAGAAAAAAACAGTACATTACTGAGAGTTGTTGTTTTTTTTTTTAAATATATATGCTCATAAAGCACATTTAGTTTCACTAGACTGGAAAATTAAGGCTCACCTGCCCAAGGATATATCAAAACCTAGTAAGATTCCTGCATTTATATGGAAAGTCATAACAATTCTTTTTTACACATCAGCCACTATATTGTTTAGAAAGTAGCCATAAAGCATAATTTTTAAGTATTTTTAAACTTCTTAAAAGCGTACTCATCCCAAAAAATGACTCTTCATATATTCATTAAAAAATGATAATTGGCTTCTCTACTGTTCAATCCTTTGATACTGCAAATTGGGGCTTGCATTTTTTCTTCAGATTTTTGGCTTGAGAAATGTCAAGCGTGTTCTTCCCTTTTGGTTTTCTAACTCCAACTTTTGGCACATTTCATTATTATACTTTACTTTGTCTTCTCAAGGCACCCTTTGAAATCTTCTGTACAGTTCTCTTCATCATTTTTTCTGTTCACTTTAACTATTCTACAAAAAAATTGAATGATGCAGGAAGCATCAAATGAAGATGAAAGGAATACACAGAGTCACTGTACCAAAAAGAACTGGTCAACGTTCAACCACTTCAGGAGGCAGCATATGATCAAGAACCAATGTTACTGAAGGAGGAAATCAAAGCTGCACCAAAGGCATTGGTGATAAACAATGCTCCAGGAACTGACAAGATACCAACTGAGCTGTTTCAACAAATGGATACAACACTGGAAGCACTCACTCATCTATGCCCAGAAATTTTGAAGATGGCTACCTGGACAAACGAATGGAAGAGATGGATATTTATGTCCATTCCCAAAGAAAGTGATCCAACGGAATGCAGAAATTATCAAACAATATCATTAATATTACACGCAAGTAAAATTATGCTAAAGATAATTCAAAAACTGTTGCAGCAGTACATCGACAGGGAACTGCCAGAAATTCAAGCTGGCTTCAGAAAAGGACGTGGAATGAGGGACATCACTGCTGATGTCATATGGATCCTGGTTGAAAGCACAGAACGCCAGAAAGACATTCACCTGGGTTTTATCAACAATGTAAAGACATTTGACTGTGGGGATCATAACAAATTATGGATAACACTGAGAAAAATGGGAATTCCAGAACACTTAACTATGCTCAAGAGGAACCCATACATAGATTAAGAGGCAGTTGTTCAAACAGAACAAGGGGAAACTGTGTGGTTTAAAATCAGGAAAGGCGTGCATTAGGGTTGTATCCTTTCACCATACTCATTCAATCTGTACGCTGAGCAAATAATTTGAGACGCTGAACCAGATGAAGAACGTGGCATCAGGATTGGAGGAAGACTCATTAACAACCTGCAATATGCAGATGACACAACCTTGCTTGCTTAAAGTGAAGAGGGCTTGAAGCACTTACTGATGAAGATCGAAGACCACAAACTTCGGTATGGATTACACCTCAACATAAAGAAAACAAAAATCCTGACAACTGGACCAATAAGCAACATCACGGTATTACGGGGAAAATACTGAAGTTGTCAAGGCTTTCATTTTACTTGGATCCACAACCAATGCCCATGGAAGCAGCAGTCAAGTAATCAAACAACATATTGCATTGGGCAAATTTGCTGCAAAAGAGCTCTTTAAAGGGTTAAAAAGCAAACATGTCACCTTGAGGACTAAGGTGAGCCTGACCCAAACAAAAAAACAAACCAAACTTGTTGCCATCAAGTGCATTCTGACTCATAAAGATCCTATAGAACAGAGTAGAACTGCCCCACAGGGTTTCCAAGGAGCAGCTAGTGAATTCAAACTGCTGACCTTCTTGGTTAGCAGCCAAGCTCTTAATCACTGCACACCTGACCCAAGCTATGGTATTTTCAGTCACCTCATATGCATGCAAAAGGTGGACAATAAATAAGGAAGACTTAAGAAGAATTGATGCCTTTGATTCAGGGTGTTGGCGAAGAATACTGAATATACCATGGACTGCCAGAAGAACAAACAAATCTTGGAAGAAGTACAGACAGAATGCTCCTTAGAAACAAGGATGGCAAGACTTCGTTTCACGCACTTTGGACATGTTATCAGGAGGGACCAGTCCCTGGAGAAGGACATCATGCTTGGTAAAGTAGAGAGTCAATGAAAAAGACGCAGACCCTCAATTAGATGGATTGACACAGTGTCAGCAACAATGGGATCAAACACAACAACGATTGTGAGGATGGCACAGGACCGGGCAGTGTTTCTTCTGTTGTACACAGGGTCTCATGAGTTGGAAATGACTCAACGGTACCTAACAACAACAACTGTTCAAAATAAGACAGCACTTAAAAGAGATATTTATATAAAAGCCATACTGCGTATGCCTTCAAGTTTTCCATAATGTTGCCAAATGGAACCACCCAGAATCAGAGTTCAATAAAATCACCAAAAAACATTTTATTTTCTGTTCATATTAATCTCCAAATTATTTAATATTTTCATCACAAAAGAACATATTGAAAGATTGGAAAAGAAACATTCTGGCCAATATTGAGCACAGTTGAGCTAGTCAGAACAAGGCTAGTAAGCATCACCCATAAGGGATAATTTTTCCAGGGCAGAAGAACAATATGAGATAAATCACAAGGTCTCTTAAGATCTTGTGACAAACAAAAAATATGACAGGAATCTCATGCTATGAGTGTACTTCAACATGAATACTACCAAAAATGAAGAACATGCATAGACTTAGATACTTTTATTTTGGAAGGGTTTTTAATAGCACTATATTTCATAACAATTATTTAGAAGATAGTATAAACAGAAAATATAACTCCCAATAATTAAATTTCTTAGAAGAGTCAAATTTACCATTTCTCAAAGGACTGCAGTGAATATTAAAGAGAGTGAAAGAAGTAATTATTTTCCCAATTTAATAGTGATTTTTTTTTTTAGAAGCCAATGCCCTTTTCACTCACCGGTGCTAGGGAGGGTTGATCTTTCAGAACTTGCTCACTGGCAATAAATATCTCTTGGTTCTTATAGTACATGAGAGAAAAAATGAACATTTTACTTCGATGGGGGAAGCTTACACAACAGTTTGCTGTGTATTTAAGAGAAAGCCATGTAGTCACATTATCCACTAAAAATACTTGAATAATATTAATCACAAATGTTATCTTAAATGTTGATTTGCTAGATCTTATGCTAGAAAAATCCTATAGAAACTACTTTCATCCTGTAAGAATATAAAATGCTGGGCTACTTACTTTGAAATGCAGTTTCAAAATAAGAATTCACATTAGATACTAACTTTTCAAAAAATCTCTGTGATAGTTTAACGGCTATAATGACAAGTCTCAAAAAATTCATGTGCTAGAGCATTCATGAAACGTGAAGTTTTAAGAAAATCGTAATAGTCTCTCTTTTAGGACTTGTAACATTTTTCTACGGGAAATTCTACAAAAAACCAATTTTCTATCCATTTGTAGCACAACAAAAACTACTATGATCATCAGTTCAATCTGGCATCACGAAACTAAAAAGCCTACTCGTATTTGAAGACAAATGCTCTAATCCCAATTTGAGAGTCATTAACAGCACAGCACTGGGCCTCTTACGTTGGTAGTCTATTGCTGAAATCACCTGCAGTTATTAAGTGAACTATGCACTGTTTTATCACCCAGTTGATTTTACCAATACTTAAGACACTATATTTGAGAATAAGTTTACTAGATTCAAAAGCTATCACAGGCTATTGATTCAAAAGCCTAGAAGAAGTAAGGCTTAGTTGTGGAATTACCATACATAAAAATAAAACATAGTCACTTGAATTCCTTAAACGACATTATTTCAGCAACAGTTTAAAATATCCTCTCAAAATATCTCTAGCGTAAGATTTAGCAACTTCAATTCATTAACAACTAACACTTCAACAGCTCTTCATGTTATGGCTATATATATCATTTACTGTATTCCCAAAACAACTTTCGGATTCTCTCTAAAAAGCTGAATTACTCAATTTCTCATATAGAGAAAAGGGATTATGAAAAACAGAGTAACTTTTCTTTCCTAATAGCATGCATTTAGTGACTGTGACTCAAACCAAAATCTTCTAGTTTACTGTTCTTTCTACTTTACCATGTTGATTTTCTATGCACAGAGAACTTAGGTAAAGAGGTCTAGAATTCTTAGATTTACAGTTATTAAGTGTTTTCATCTCCAGTATTTTTGAGATGTATTTTTGTAAGATATCTATGTACTTCTAAGCAAACATGATACTCAAATTTAAAGGGCACATTTTTATTTCTCAGTAATTTACAATAGCTGCCTCCATTATCTTGGCACCTACTCTTTCCTTAATCCGCTAACAAAACGTTAGCTTCACTTTATAAATAAAACTCTTTCAAATAAAAATGATATCTTTTTGGAAAAAACGAGGTTTTTCTTCATTCTCCTTGACACTTTTCCTCAGCCATTAACCATAAACCTTGCATACTGGCTTCCATGACCTAAAAGTTTGAGTTTCTCCTCGACTGCTCCTCCTCCTCTAATTCTTTCACTGGCTCGCCTTTCTCTTTCCAGACCGCCTATCTGGGCAATTCCAAAGCTTTAGACCTTCAGCTTTCTGCTCCATGCTCTATATACCCTACCCTTTAAATAGCTCAATTATTCCTACAACTAGATAACTCCCAAATTTGGGATGAAAATTCCAGGGGTGTCCTGAGCTCTCCTGCTCCCAATTTCTAAATGACTACTAACCGTTTCTACTTGTATGTAACAAATGAGGATAGACATAAAGTAGCAGAGAAGATCACAGGAGAGAAAGAACACTTTAACCTGTTACAACAAAAGGTTTCACAATGGTGGAAATTGAGCTAGTTCTAGACGAAAAACGGTTATCCTACCAAGAGACCTTAGTTAAAAAAAAAAAAAAGGTGTGTGAGAAGCATGATGTTCATTCAAGAAACTGAACCAAACAATGTGACCAGAACAGAGAATCAACTAAGGGAGAAAATAAAATGAGACAGAAAAATAAAAAGTTGGATTGCAGGTAAGAAGTGGATAGTCCTGAAAGCCCAGCCAAAAGTTTGAACAAATTCTACAGAAAAGGGGGAGCTACAAAATGTTTTCAGCAGGGAATTTTGTAGTTTAATGAAGATGAATCTGACAGTCCTTTGCAGAGAGGACTGAAAAAAAGAAGAGAGACTCTACGCTAAAGACTACTTGAAGTGCTAAGCACCTGAACTAGGGTGCTGACAGTGGGAAAAATGTAATATAAGAGAATACTATTATTAAATAAAATTACAGAGGAAGATTTAGGCAAGAAGTTGTTACCAAAGAAAACATATAATCAGGATAACAGTTTCCTTATCTAGCAAAAACACAAAAGATCTATTAATACTATTACATACATTTCAAGTTACCTTAAGTTCCCTTGTATCATATTTTTTTCTTCTTTATTGTAACAAAAGTTTATTATTCTTTTGGAGGAACCACAAGCAACGTGAATAAATTTTAACATTCTATTCACTATGCCAAATTAATGAAGAATATTAAGAAAATATCTACCTTTTATGATCATGAATCTTGAACATTTTATAAAACCCCAAAAGCTATTAGTATATTTTTAGATATAGATGGCACAGTTCATTGAAAGTTTCAATAGTAAATAATCTGTCCCACCACAGGCTTGTTGATTTGACAAACTTCAATCATATTTCCAGGGTTTTGTGATTACACTAGAAGATGTGCTCAATCAAAAGGAATGAACAAGGGACTTTGGACTTAGAATTTTTATCATATAGTTATATGTTACATGCCATTTTCAATTCTTATTATGTATTGTTTCATTTTTAAGAGGGGTGTGTGTGTGTGTGCGTTCCTTTATTATGCAGTGATTTCAAAAATCAATGTCCCTAACAACCAAAATATCCTCAGGGATTTGGTTATTTTTAATGCATAAACGAAGAAAGTCTTTGGTTTATAACAGCTACCGAAGTACACACCTGATATTTCAAGTTAAGATAGTTAAAGCATATCAGAAAGTCTCAGTATCATCACTTAGTAATGTTAGTACTAGCACTGAAGTTTTCTGAGATCAGAGGTAACTTGACAGAGAGTTTGTCGAAGGTGTATGTATTCTTAAATGAGTAACTGTTATTACTCCATCAAAACAATTACCAACTGAATACTTACCACACTTAAGTTGATAGGAGTATTTGCCTTTGGTACTGGGTGGTTATACAGGGACTTGAGAGTTTCATTCAAATCACTCTCCTAGAGGAAAAACAAGTACATTCTATAAATGAAAGTATACCAAGCAACAATTAGAACTACCTGGTAAAATCAATTACTCTGCCATCTCATATCAGACATGTTTTATGAAAACTGCTTTCCACAGGAACATTTCAAATAACTGTAACTGAAATATATATAATAAATATTGAAAACATACTCACATATCTTTATCCAGAAAGAATGTTTCTATGTAACATGAATATATATTTGGCAAAACTTAGTCATTTTAAAAATTGTTATTAAAAAATGCACTTAGTGATAAAATACACAGACATAGAAGGAAAGCATTTAAATCATTAAATTAAGAAAAACGAGATTGAGTAAGAATAGTAATACAATTTTTATCAGATCACATTGTTCTCCCATTTTTCATTTTCATTTTAACTTGTTGTTATGTACTGAATTGTGTCCCCCAAAAATGTGTGTCAACTTGGTTAGGCCATGATTCCCACTATTGTGTGGCTGTCCTCTATTTTGTGATCTGATGTAATTATCTTATGTGTTGTAAATTCTAATCTCTATGATGTTAATGAGTCAGGACACAATCTACAGGATTAGGTTGTTTCTTGAGTCAATCTCTTTCGAGACATAAAACAGAGAAGTGAGCAGAGAGGAGTGTGACCTCCTACCACCAAGAAAGAAGAGCCAGGAGAATAGCGTGTCCTTTGGATCCAGGTTCCCTGCACTGAGAAACTCCTAGACCCAGGGAAGATTGATGACAAGGACCTTCCCCCAGAGCTGACAGAGAGAGAAAGCCTTCCCCTAGAGCTGGCACCCTGAATTTCGATTTTAGCCTCCTAAACGGTGAGAGAATAAATTGGTTTGTTAAAGCCATCCACTTGTGGTATTTCTGTTAGAGCAGCACTAGATAACTAAGACACGTGGCAAATGTAACTTTTAAGGAATAAAAATAATTTAAAAAAGATTACTGTACTAAGATATGCTTATAATATACAGGTTATTCTAAATACTTCTTTTCTAAGTAGCTATTAGTTACTAGTTGACCCAGAATAAATGTGATTAAATAAAACATATAACAAATTTAATTTATAGGACTTGCACAATAGTGTACCCTTTATGTGCACATCCACTTTTTCTGAATCACACATATAAATCTAATAATAAATATACAAAATATTGTTTCCATAAACAGTTGCTTTTATTCTCCTTTTAAATTGTTATGTTGGAAAGAATAGACCAAAGAAAAATCAATTGTTATGGGAAGGTGATAATTAATTTTAAGGGATTTGGACATTAAACACAAGGTTTCTCACGACTTCTCTTATGATCTGTCCCTCTACTGACGTAGACATTTACTAAAACAGATCTCTAAAGATCTCTAAAGCATAAACTCAAAACTGCCTATCTGAAATTTCCTTTAGAATGGCCTTAAAAAGGGGGCTGGGGGAGGTGATATAAAATAAACAATTCATCTTTTGAACACTTAAACAATGAAATGTACCATACATAATTGTAGATGATATTGATATTGTCTATGTGAAATTCATATAACTACACAAATTTTTAATAATCCTAGCTTTTAGAAATCCTAGACTTACTATATATTTTTATTCACAGTAAAAATGTACAATAGTACGTAGCAAAAATGTACTCGTCCTACGTAGCTCATATAAGGATAACCTGAATTATAAATATTCTAAATATCAATCTAAACAGTCTGTAGCATTGGATTGAAAATGAAAAGAAGAAAGTATTACAATTACAAATTTACTTTCGATTGTTTAATTAATACTATGAATTTCTAGTTCATAGATACAGGATGGTAAAGACACAAAGATAGTAAAGACAATGACACAAGGATCAAAGACACCAAACCAACCCAAAAAACCCATTGCCATTTAATAGATTCCAACTCATAGGGACCCTACAGGACAGAGCAGAACTGCCCCGTAGGGTTTCCAAGGAGTGGCTGGTGTATTCAAACTGCCCACCTTTTGGTTAGCAGCCATGGCTCGCCGTAGCTCTCTCAACCACTGCACCAAGGCTCTAGTAAATAATGGAGCCAAGTTAAATCCAAGATTGCAGATTTGTAGTATAGGGCTCAATCAAACCACATGGCCAAAAGTTCAATTATATTTTTATTACCCATGACTGTGTTACATTAGGATCCCTGGTGGCGCAGTGGTTAAGCACTTAGCTGTTAACTGAAAGGTTAGCAGTTCAAACCTACCAGCAGTTCTACAGGAGAAAGATGTGGCAGTCTGCGTCCAAAAAGATTTACAGCCTTCGAAGCCCTGTGGGGCAATTCTAATCTGTCCTATAAGGTCTCTATGAGTTGGAATCAACTGGACATCCATCAATGGGTTTGGTTTTTTGGAGGTTAAGTTACTTAATGAATATTTGTGAAGATTTTAAATTCTAAGGTGACAACTCTCTCCCTTTACTTGGGCACGCTTAAGACACAATTAACCTGAGTGTGATGAGAATGAAAACTAATCTCTGTATTAGAAAGATATGTAGAAGGACTTTAAAAACGCAGTTATGGATTATCCACACCGTATTTCTTCCTACTCCCCCATCCCCCATTACTTTTACTTAATTAAAAAATAGACTGCAGGGTGAATTTTAATATTACCATTTTAAAATGTTACCAAAAATAAGAAGTATTATTTCTCTATCATCTGTATTACTGTAATGAATAATTCTTTCTAAACAATTTTGATGAAAGATACTTAATGGCAACTAACCCAATCCTGGAACCTCAGTGGCACAATGCTTAAGAGCTGGGCTATTAACCAAAAGGTCAGCAGTTCGAATCCACCAGCTGCCCCTTGGAAACCTTATAGGGCAGTTCTACTCTGTCCTATAGGGTCGTTATGAGTCAGAATCAACTCCACGGCACGTAACAACAACAACCCAATCCTAACACCTGTTGTTGTTTTTTTTTTTTTAAATTGGCACATTAAAGATCACATGCAAGATTTCTACTAATTTACCTAAGTCATAAATTTAATTCTTAACAATAGCTTATTTTCAAATATAGACATAACAATGCTTAATATAGTGCATAGTACATCATACTGGGCATACAATAAATATATTTTCAACTGGAATGCATCTACCAAGGCTAAGAAATAAATGAATAAAAACATACAATACCATACCTACGAAGAAGTTTTGTTCCTGATTCAGTTCAATTTGTTTAAAACACTGAAACTTTTAAAAATAAGGTAAGGAAATAAATGACAGTATATTGAAAAACTTAAAATAAGCTTTTCCTACAGAAAGATTTAGGGTGAGGGGAATGATATTCTTAATATATTCCCATGTAAACATATATCCCTGTCTATAATTTTGTCTATGATTTCCTGTACAGCACGGATTTACAGCATCTAGTTAACAAAAAATGACATGGTATCTAGATATGTTGTTATTATTAGGTACTGTCGGTCTCAACTCACAGAGACCCACGTGACAGAGTAGAACTGCCGTATAGGGCTTTCTAGGCTGTAATCCTATGGGAACAGATCACCAAGCCTTTCTCCTAAGGAGCGGCTGGGTGGGTTTGAACCGCTAACCTTTTGGTTAGCAACCAGGTTCTTAACCATTGCACCACTGGGGCTCCTTTCTCTAGACATTAGGTCCTTCAATTATGAAGTAAAAGTTAAAAAGTAAGTATTATAATTTTATTAATGTATGTTTATTTATTCAAAAATTTTTCGCTCAATACCTATTTGCTACTGGGGATACACAGATAGGAGAGACTGAAGTCTCAACTTAAATCTTAGTTGTGTAGAAAGAATTACAACACAGTGTAAGTGTTTTTGGAAACCAGGGCAGGTATCACCTAACTCAGCCTGAGAAGTCAAGAAAGCATTTGGAGAAGCAGTATTTGTGCTGTATATAGGTTTTTTACAAAGATACTTATGCTGCATCTTAAAAGTTGAATGCTATTAACAGTAATCACAAGTGGGTGATCTATAATCCTGACAGACAACTACCTGTGCACAGTTAGGTCTTGGGAAATTTAAGGTGTTCAGAATAATTGGCTGGAACATTGTATGTAGGGAATCGGGAGCAGATCAACCCAGAACGAAGGTCAGAAGCCAGATCTTGAGGCTTCTTACATGTCATACTGCACACAAGATTTGACTTTACTCAAAAAAGAAGGGGAAGTCACTAAGAGACTACAAGCAGTGGAATGATATAATCAGAGATTTTAGAAAGATCATTCTTAAAGATTAGAATAGGGGGGTACTTAAGCCAAGAGTGTATGAAATGTCCCATAAATAATGTCCAGAGTGAATAGAAGAGAGAACAAGAAAACACAGGGGAGCAGCAAAACTTTAGATGCAGATGGACAAGTGATGGTGGTTGTTGTGTGCCGTCAAGTCGATCCCGACTCACAGGTGGGAGGAAAGGGGCCCAAGATAGAGGTGGACGAAATAGGTGAAAGCAAAGAAAGAATAATGTGAGGACAATCAAGAAAAGCACTATCTCAAGAGGGAGGTGGTGTCACATGAGAATTTAAACACATAACCAGAAGATGGAAAGCACCCCCTGAATGTGGAAACGAGAAAGCAACAACAGGCATTATGGGGGCGGGGGGGACTATTTTATTTGAATTAAACCGCAGCAAATAGCACAGCTAACATCTTAGTAGATTAATCTTTGTTAAAAACATCAAAAAATGACAACAGAAAGAATTTATCAAATTATCATCCCAGAGAAGTTGGTTAATTGAAAAACAAACTTCCATTTTTGTTTTGTTTTTATTTTTAAGAAAAAGGCATAGCTTACCAGTTCCTTAGCCAAGTAATCTGCCAGAGTATTTAAAAGCTTGTAATACACTTCAAACCATGGCAGGTAACTGTAAAAAAAATCATTTAAAAAAGTATATATAAAATTTAGAACCAAGAAACAATCGATAAACAAATAGTAAATTCACATTATTTCAAACAAGTTGATCCTGGAGGGCAGAAAAGAAGTATACCTATGTTCTCCTTACTGTTTCGGTGAAATTTCACATGCTATCTACTACTAGTTCTCATAAAATAAATCAAAACCCAATGTTATGTTATAAAAGTTATTCACTATACTTTTCTATCATGGCAACAGTATCTAAAATCATACAATCCCATTTCCTGATAATCACCAAAAGCATTCATAGGAAAAAAATAAACTACCATAATAAAACATAAAATAAAAATTAATTTTGTCAAGAGGTATTCATCTTTTAAAATAAAATATATAATTGTTTCTCTTTAAATATTACTCAATTGAGTATATAATGCAATAGAACTATAATTAACCAATTCTTCAGAAGTAGATTTTTAATTGGATGGCAAATTTCAAAAGAAATATCAATACAAACAGCAGAAAACCTATACTAGAAATTGCATCCAATAGCTTTTAGATGCCAAAACTAAATATAATTTAAAATTCATTTTCTATTCATTTTGCTACATTAAAGTATAGTTACTTTTTATGAAAGCTAAATTAATAAATCCAAAAATTATTTGTATGAAATAATATCTATATTTATTATTTTAAAATCAAGGTATTACTACATTTAAAATCTACCCAAATTTCTTAATTGAATATTTATTGTATGATCCCATGTATATGAAATATCTAGAACAGACAAGGTATAGAGATTAAAGTTTATTAGTCGTGATCAGGGGTGGGCAGGAGGGAGGGGGAAAGGAAGACATAATGCTTAGGGGACATTGAGTCACTGTTAAGGTTGATGGAAAAATTCGGGAATGGTTAAGGGTGATAGTTGAACAACATGATAAACTAGTTAATGTCACTTAACTGTACATATGAAGATTACTGAAATGGCAAATGTTCTGTTACTTACATATTTACCACAATAAAAGAATTTTTACATATACATATACACTTCTGAATCACACCTCAACATAAAGAAAACAAAAATCCTCACAACTGGACCAATAAGCAGCATCATGATAAATGGAGACAATACTGAAGTTGTCAAGGATTTCATTTTACTTAGATCCACAATCGACAGCCATGGAAGCATCATCAAGAAATCAAATGACATATTGCATTGGGCAAATCTGCTGCAAAAGAGCTCTTCAAAGTGTTAAAAAGAACTAAGGTGCACCTGACCCAAGCCATAGTATTTTCAATCACATCATATGAATATGAAAGCTGGACATTGAATAAGGAAGACTGAAGAAGAACTGATGCCTCTGAATTACAGTGCTGGTGAAGAATATTGAATATACCACACAGACTGCCAGAAGGACGAACAAATCTGTCTTGGAAGAAATACAGCCAGAATGCTCTTTAGAAGCCAGGACAGCGAGACTTCATTTCACATACTTTGGACAGGTTATCAGGAGGGACCAGTCCCTGGAGAAAGACATCATGTTTGGTAAAGTAGAGGGTCAGTGAAAAAGAAGAAGACCCTCAACTGACACAGCAGCTACCACAATGGGCTCAAGCATAGCAACCACTGTGAGGATGGCGCAGGTCTCTGTGAGTTGGAACTGACTCAACAGCACCTAACAACAGCAACAACATACACTTTTCATATCGAACAGTAAATTAAAGAAACAACAACAACACTTCAGAGCAAACACATAAGATGGATTTAAAAACGTAAAGAACAAAGAACAGAGTTTAGAGAAACGGCATTCTATCTGCATTTGTTCATCTAATGCCCAATTTATTAGTGACTATGAATGATGTCTTCTGAATCAGAAACAACCTAAATTCATAACAACAGAAGAACAGCTGGGTAAACTGCAGTATCTTTATTCAGGAGAGTATTACAGAGTTCTTTAAAATGATACTAACAAATACGAAGAAATGATCAGGAAAATGTCTATGATATTAAGAAATATCCAGCCAACTTCTGGTTAAATCTCGTATATCGAATGCATGCATTTACCTCTGTGCTCTCTAGGAAAGCCACTAAAATGACAGTAAAGGAATAAAAACAGTATAAATTGATAAAGACAACGAGAAAGGGAGAAAAAACAGTAAAGGAGACACAAGTGAATGATCTTTTTAAAGACGGTAAATTAAGACTGGTAACCGACAGAAGAGAAGAAACCAAAGCCTAAAACTGCCAACAGGAAGGAAAATGACCAGCAGTCAGTAAATCTGCCCCCCTCCCTAAAACACTAACTTGGGAATGACTCAAAGGAAGAAAACCTTCAAGGTCCCTTTTTCCTGGCATGAAACCCATCATTGGACATATGATGTTTCCAGTTCACTTTTAGTTCCTCCCTCTTAAATGAACAGCCCAACCACCAGGTATTGAGAAAATACAGACACCAATACAAACATAAAAATTTTTTTAAAATTCCACATAAATACAGAAATACAAGTAGCAGAAGAGAACTTCAAAAAGTTAATGTGAATATCCTTAGGAGCTGAAACAAAGACCATGATGCTACTGAACAAAACGAAGAAAGAAAGAAAGAAAAAGGGAAAAGGAGGGAGGGAGGAAAAAATAAATCAAGAAAACAAGAAAAAACTCTTAAAAATGCAAACCATAAAAGTTGAAGAAAAGTTAGAAGACAACTCAAGAAAGTCTCCCAGAAACGAGAATAAAGAGACAAAGAAATGGATAATGAGAGAAAAGACTAAAATACCACAGCAACAATCTGGACTATCATATAGTCGACTAACAGCAGCTATAAAAAGAAACAAAAGAGCTAAGAAAGGATAGAAGTTTTCTTTTCAAAAATTACTGGAAATTTTCCCGTAAGTCTCCAAATTCAAAAGGCCACTGAGTAAACTGCACAATGAATGAGCCAAAACAAAGACTATCACTGTGAAATTCCAGAACAGGGGATAATGAGAAGGATCTAAGCGTTTCCAAAGAGTCAAAACAGGTCACAGGAAAAGGGATCAAACTCAAAATGTCATTGAGCTTCTCAACAGCAATACCAAGAACTTAGGAGATTCATGCCTTCGAAACGCAGCGGTTAAATCCTTTGCAACCTAGAATTCTATGTCCAGAGAAACTATCAATGCATGCATGAGCGTAGAATATAATGGCATTTTCAGTCATGCAAGGACTCAAAAATTTACCTCCTCTGTGCTATTTTTAGGAAGCTACTAAAGGATGACTTTAACAAAATGGGGGAGGAAAGCAAGAAGAAACAATACAAGGGATGTAGGAGACAAGAAATCTAACACCATGGAAGAATAGATAAATCTGAGGAAAAGAGCTGTGCAAAGGCCTAGCAAACAACCAGTCCAGACTGAAAAGGGCCGAGAGCTTTCCAAGGGAGAAGCTGAGACAGGGTGTTTACCACAAGCACGGTGACAACTATGTGCAGGAGCCTGGAAAATTCTGGATAGGTATTTAATTTTGGATAGCTTTTGAGAAATCTGAAAATCAAAAATCAGTATTAGTAATCTCAATTTACATATTTATATTATTCAACTCTTCAAGCTCTGGTGCTGACGTGGCTATTCTACACAGTATCTTTCACTTAACAAAAAACAATAACCCTTAAAAACTACCAATACTATTTTTAAATTATCAACTTAATATAATGCAAATTAGCACATCAAATTTTCTGTATTCACTGTAACTCAATGAAATAATTTTCATGAAGGATTTCCTAACAAGACACACTACACTTCCTTGGTTAGGTGCAATTTCTTTCATTTGTAGTCATTTCAAACGCTTATTTCAACTTTTAATAGCCTAAAGAAATTACTATTTCAAGAAAATTTCAATAGGTCATGTAGTCAGATAAAATGGGACAATGTATTCAAGCATGCTTGTCTATTTCTATTCTACTCTCAAGAATCTTCAGGTAAAGCAAAATTCATTTATTTTAGCTGGCTGCACGCCTAACCGTTAATCCCTACGTTGTCATTTTTGCCTTGTTTAACCTTAACTCTTCTTTTCCAGTTCACTATAGAAAGAAAAATATAATAAATACCACATAATTATAAGTTATTACAAAGTAAGAAATAATCTTTATTTGTTGTTGTTCCTAGTCCAAATATCTTAACACCTTTTTAAATGTTCTCTCATTTCTACGTTCTTATTTGTCACTGGATATCTCTTTCGCTCTCAATTTCCTTTTAAATTGTGAGGATAAATCCATACTTAGGATACTCTTTATAAGTTAGCAGTTCTTATTTGTGCTAGACATTTTGGTATTTGTATAATTAAAACTATCTGTTAAATCACCAAGAATACAAACTTTTGCTGAATTTCATCCTGGCTACGTTTCTTCTTTATACGCGGGTATGCTGCATTTTGTTCTTGTGTGCATCTCCTAATTATCATATTTAACACTCGACCCTATTATGTGTAGAGCACTACTAGGTACGAGGATGCCAGAATCTCTTCTAATATGACTTTGTTTATAAATTAAACTTACACTATCTAAAAAAACTATTCCAAGGTTTCCCCTTATGGGTTATTTTCTCACAGGCGTCTCTAAGGCCCCATCATGCTTTGTGATTTCTATTTGGGGAGTAGAGCTCACTAGTCAGTTCTATGCCCATCTCATGGGTAGAGAGTAAAATCTAAGAACCACAGAAATTCTGCGTTAAAAAAGTTGGCAGCACAGGGAACAAAACATCTTGATTATAATTATATACATGAGCCATGCTAGGTACTTTATATAGCAGTCCTGGTGGTGTAGTGGTTAAAGCGCTCAGCTGCCAACCGAAAGGTCAGCAGTTTGAAGCCACAAGCCACCCCAGTGGAGAAAGACGGTCGGTCTGCTCCTGTAAAGACCGCGGCTTCGGAAACCCTGTGGGGCCGTCTACTCTATTCTATAGGGTCACTGTGGGCCGGAACTGACTCCACAGCAACAGTTTGTTTTTATGTGTCTGTTTGTTTTTTTGCCTTACGTCCTT